TATTGCTCATTGTGTGTGAATGTTCATTAACTAAGGTTAACTAATGAGATCTTCTTGTAAAGTGATACCTATTGGTCTTTATAATTCTTTTGCACTTTAATCTGTTTAACATTTTTTACTTTATCATTTTTTTTGTGTATTGCTTTATTGTATTTAAATGTTCAGTTATTTTTGTTAGAAGAAAAAAGTTATTAAACCTGTTATACTGTATTATGACAACACTTTTTTGCAACTAAATTTCAATATCGTGATAATACCGTATACCATGATAAAAGCATTAGCAATTAATCACAACATGAAAATTTGATACCGGCATATCCCTAGTCTTGATGTCAGTTTGTTTTGGTTACAGCTAGCGTTAGCGCCATGGTTGGTTAATACCTGTAATGGTGCCAGTACTTTTGACTCGCACCATTTAAATCCTCATTATGTAAGGCACAGAACTGTATGAACTTTATCTTGTGTGCCTCACATTAAACTTTTCCTCACTTATTGAAGTTTTCCTGAAAACAATTGTCTCAAGTTCCATTTGGTTTTCGTTTATCAAATTGTAGGCCAAGTGAGAAGAGAAAAACTACAATGTCTGTGGTACAAATATGTTGTTTCTCTCTCCACAGCCGCTTCAAATCAAATCAGTGGTGGCCCCTGAGCACGTCAAAGGTTATATCTATGTGGAGGCGTACAAGCAGACCCATGTCAAGTCCGCCATTGAAGGTGTTGGAAACCTGCGTATGGGCTTCTGGAACCAGCAGATGGTGCCCATTAAAGAGATGACAGATGTGCTGAAGGTGGTTAAGGAAGTGACTAACCTTAAGCCCAAGTCTTGGGTTCGTCTTAAGAGAGGCCTTTATAAAGATGACATTGCCCAGGTGGGTACAGCAGAAGACTTGGCTATATAGTAATAAAGGAAACGTCTCCCAAATAGGGTGCTAGATATTTTGGTTACGTTATTCAATTTGTCATTCATACAGCTCTACATCTGTGGCATGAAAACATTTGACGCTTGTATTTATTTGCCTTGTTTAGGTGGACTATGTTGAACCGAGCCAAAATACGATCTCACTGAAAATGATTCCTCGGATTGATTTAGATCGCATTAAAGCGAGGATGAGTATGGTAGGTTACATCATCATGATCATATATTTACGCTACTGTTCAAAAGTTTGGAGTCAGTACATTTTTTTTTTTTTTTTTGAAAGAAATAAATACTTTTTATTCAGCAAGGATGAATTAAATTGATCAAAAGGGCAGTTAAGATGTTGCAGAAGATTTTTGTTTTAATAAATGCTGAACTTTCTATTCATCGAAAAATCCTGAAAAAAGTTTTACGGTTTCCACAAAAAATATTAAGCAGAAAAGAAACCTCTTTTTAACATTCATAATAATAATAAAATGTTACTTAAGCACCAAATTAGCATATTAGAGTGACTTCTGAAGTATCATGTGACGCTAAAGACTGGAGTAATGCAAAACAGTGATTTTAAGTTAAAAATGTTTCACAGTATTACTTCCTTTACCTTTAATAGGATGAACGTGGCTTTTGTGATCATAAGAGGCTGCTTTTAAAACATTTAAAAAAAAATTACTGACCCTAAACCTGGATGGTAGTGTATATATGCTATGTGACCTTTTAGTGATTTGACCCCGGCTTTGTCTTTCATCGTACAGAAAGACTGGTTTGCGAAGAGAAAGAAGTTTAAGAGGCCCGCTCAGAGGCTTTTTGATGCTGAAAAGATCAGGTAAAGGAGCACTCTGATTTTGAGTCGCTCATAATCAAAACCTATTGAAATATGTCAGCCACACTGACACATGCTCTGCTCCACAGGTCTCTAGGTGGTGAGGTCAGCCATGACGGAGACTTCATGATATTTGAAGGCAACCGATACAGCCGCAAAGGCTTCCTGTTTAAAAGCTTTGCTATGTCAGCCGTGGTAAGAGCCCTCACACTTATTGTGGTTCTAGGTGTCTGTCTAGTTGTTCCTTATTGGTTTATCGTGTCTCTTTTTGCATAGATCACAGAAGGGGTCAAACCTACTCTGTCGGAGCTGGAGAAGTTTGAGGACCAGCCAGAGGGGATTGACCTTGAAGTAGTCACAGAGACAACAGGTAAATACATCCAGACAGTAGAACTTTTTTTTGTGCCAATGTGTTGCGTAATCCTTCCGTGCATGCATTTTTTCAAAGTTAATCACAAAGATTTTATTAATACAGGTAAGGAGCGTGAGCACAATCTCCAGGCAGGAGATAATGTGGAAGTGTGTGAGGGGGAGTTAATCAACCTTCAGGGTAAAATCCTGAGTGTGGATGGCAACAAGATCACCATCATGCCCAAGCATGAAGATCTGAAGGTGAATAAATCAGCACGAGTTTCTGTGTCAATACTGTGCCAGTATGCAAAGCATTTTCTCTTGGTTTGTGAATTCTGTGCCACTAAATGGAATTCAAAAGCTTTGCGAGAGTTCAAATATCCTGAAAATCATGTTCTCCATGTTGTGTCCCTTTTACACCATGATTATTGTCTCACTATCGTGCCTTTGTTTTTGTTTAGGACCCTCTTGAGTTTCCAGCTCATGAGTTGAGGAAGTACTTCCGTATGGGCGACCATGTAAAGGTTATCGCAGGGCGTTTTGAAGGTGACACAGGCCTCATAGTCCGTGTGGAGGAGAACTTTGTTATTCTGTTCTCTGATCTCACTATGCATGAGGTAGGTTTCACTAGTAAGCTGTATAATTTTTCTGAGAAGCATGTAATATACTGCAGTCAATGTTGTATTTTCTCTATCTGACATGATATCTGTTTTTGTTCCAGTTGAAGGTCTTGCCCCGGGACCTGCAGCTGTGCTCTGAGACTGCCTCAGGTGTGGATGCAGGAGGCCAGCATGAGTGGGGAGAGCTGATACAATTAGACCCCCAAACTGTAGGTGTCATTGTCAGGCTGGAAAGAGAGACCTTCCAGGTAAAGTTCAAGAGAAAGCAAGTTCAAGTGTAATGTAAACTAAACTCAGTAGTACACACTTGCTGTTTCTTCACAACAATAGCACACTTTTCACCATTGTCCCTTCAAGGCCACTGAGTTCACTCTGTGACTATCTTGGCAAAACCCCTGTGCAGCTGTATTGTCATCATGCAATTACAGCCCCTAGGCTTGCATTTCAATAACATTGTCACATCAGCAGGAACGTGATTGCAATATCATCGTGAATCAGGGCTCTCAACACAAAGGGTTGAGTTGGTGGTTCATGTTTGTACTTGAGCTGCCAAACATTTCACTGGTCTCAGCATGAAAAAAAAAAAAACTAAATTTTTTTACTTAAAGCAACATGTATTTTTATAAAAGTATAAAAATATAATTATTCATTTATTGCTATTTTTAACCGATTCTGTATGCTTGAAAGATAAGAATTCTTGCAGTGTATCCAGGTAAATAACAACTTTGACACAGTACTGTTGTAAAGTTTGGGGTTGGGTCTCATGCTCACCAAAGCTGCATTTTTTGATAAAAAATAGTGCAAAAACAGTAATATGGTGAAATGTTATTACAATTTAAAATAACTGTTTTGTATTTTTAGATACTTTAAAATATAATTTATTCTTGTAATGGCAAAGCAGAATTTTCAGCGGCCCTTACTTCAGTTTTCAGTGTCCTATAATCCTTCAGAAATCTTTCTTTCTTGCGTTCAAAAAACATATTATTATTATTATTAATGTTGAAAACTGGTGTGCTGAGTATATTGCTGAAAGTATTACTTTCTTAAAAAAAAAAAAAGCTTTTTAAAAAAAATTTCTGCTCTCTGAATTTTCTTTCACACTGATTCATTTTTAGGTTCTGAACATGCACGGGAAAGTTTTGACTGCACGGCACCAGGCAGTAAACAGACGGAAGGACAACCGCTTTGCTGTCGCTCTCGACTCTGAGCAAAACAACATCCATGTGAAGGATATTGTAAAAGTCATTGATGGACCTCATTCGGTAACTACCAGAGACATAATAAAGGTTTGACATTGAATAACAGATCCGCATTGGAGGAAGTTAATATTCTCCTTCATGTGATCCGTCAGGGCCGTGAAGGTGAAATTCGCCACATCTTCAGAGGCTTTGCTTTTCTTCACTGCAAGAAGCTGGTTGAAAACGGAGGCATGTTTGTCTGTAAAGCACGCCACCTCGTTCTGGCGGGCGGCTCAAAGGTAGATCTGTTCTGCTACATCTGTGGACAAATCTTATACATTTCCCAAATTCCCTGTTGTAAAACGGTCCCGTTTTCTTCCCCAAAGCCCAGAGACGTGACCAATTTTACAGTGGGAGGCTTTGCACCTATGAGTCCACGCATCAGCAGCCCGATGCACCCTGGCGGAGGTGGTAAGCAATTTCACGTAACTCACAGGGTTTTGTAACATAGTGGTTGAAAATCTGGGCTTTTATCAAAAGGTTCAAACCTCAAAAGAGGATGTAATTATTCATTTAAACACGTGTGTTTGTCTGCCAATATCTTAACTTAAAAACTTACGTTTTTGTCTGTCTGGTTGCCATTTGATCATTTGAATCATATCAATGATATAAAGACTACTCATATTTTGATCTAGATCTTTTTTGGTCTTCCTTTCAGGGCAGCAGCACAGGGGCGGAGGTGGTGGCATGGGTCGGGGCCGTGGGCGACGAGACAATGATCTGATTGGGCAGACTGTCCGTATATCCCAGGGACCATACAAAGGTTAAATGAATCATATTCTTATTATTTGGAGCTTTCGACCTTTTGTGAGAAGCTTTTTGCTTTGGTTTAGTGTTTTGTATAAATTTCATTGCATTTTATAACATGTTAAGTGTGGCATCAGTGTCCAAATAATTTATGACCACCATATGTTCACTTTGTCTTGTATTCTTATAAGCCACAGGTTTCATAACACCTTCTACATTTCCACAGGCTACATTGGAGTGGTGAAGGATGCCACAGAATCAACCGCTAGGGTAGAGCTCCACTCAACTTGCCAGACCATCTCTGTGGACCGGCAGCGTCTTACAACTGTGTATGTTATAGTGCACAAAGATTTATACTTTCTCTGCTTCTTCCACATTTGTTTATTCCATATTTTTGGCTAATTTTATGGCATTACTTCTAGCTGCCAGTAAAAGTCAGTACGCTCAGCTTCGTTTAACATATCTTCCTCACACAGAAAATGTAAATAAAAGTGGCTGGTCCTGTGTGGGAAAGTTCTATGTGAGAATCCTAGCTATTAGTCTCCCAACTACTGTTTGACAGTTCTGCCTCATTACACTGTAGACTGGATTGTGTTCGTCTGACATGTTATTTTTGATTTCACTGGTGCAGTAAACTATGACCGATAGGACAGCCCTGTAGCAGCTCTCTGAAAAGCACAGGATTCCTGGAACATACTTGCATATTACACACCTCAGAGATTGCTAGACAGAAGATCTTTTTTTTTTAAATTAGATGTTTATGAAAGAAGTCTCTTATGTTCATCAAGGCTGCATTTATTTGATCAAAGATACAGTAATATTGTGAATTATTATTAAAATGTTTAAACTATTTTAATACATTTTAAAATATAATTTCTTCCTGTGATGGCTAAACCCAAATTTTCAGCAGTCATTAGTTTTCACTGTCACATGATCTTTCAGAAATCACTCTAATATGTAGATTTGCTGCTCAAGAAACATTTATTATCAATGTTGAAAACAGGTTTCTGCTTAATATTGTGGAAACCAACATATTTTTGCAGGATTCTTTGAATAGAAATTGATAAAGATTTTACATTCAATTTTAAATAAATGCTGTTCTGTCACTTTTGATCAATTCCTTGTGTCCTTGCTGAATAAGAAGTATTCATTTCTTGCAAAAAAAAATAAAAAATCTTACTGACCCCAAACTTTTGAATAGTAGTGTAGAACTTTTGTTCTTCTAAATTTATTTCTTTTTTTTTAACACCTCAATATTTTTGCTCTCTTTAAATCAGTGGTGGCAAAGAAAGACAAGGAAGGACTTCCACCCATTTACGA